TTGCTGGTGAAGTTTACTTGGTGCAAGGTACTCAACTCTGAGAATGGAGTTATTCCATCCCCTCACCTCCCATAGCGACAGAGAATGAAATCCCAAGACCATTGAACTCACTGGCAAAACTCCCATTGATTTCAGTGCGTCCATGATTTCACCATGAGCTTTTTGGCTTTTTTAGACCCATCTGTCTTCACAAGAATGTGAGAGGACAGAGACTGTTTATATGGAGGGACCCTGACTTGTTTTTGTCCGTGGTAAATTCACATATTTATTTTTCATGAGTGTATGTCCTGAATGAAATGGAAAGGTGCGTTTTTAATAACCCTATAAGTGAGGCTGTCCAATCAGTACTGGAGCATTCCATTTAACTGGTGAAATCCTTTGTTAGACAATAACTTTCATAAATGCTTTTGGAGTAACAAACTGAAAGGAGAAGAGAGAGTTTGGAATAGCTGATGGAAGCTGCTTGTTTGGTGGTAGAAATTGTTCAGAGCTTAAGGCTGTGTCTTGGGCTGGTGGTGGGGTGCGAGGGGGGTGGGCAGGGAGAGGAAGAGTGTGAGACAGATAAACACTTGACAGCAAAAAACATTTATTTATCTATGATGACACTTTCTTGAGCTTAGGCAGAGCATTGGAGGGAGGAATGGAGAGTATTGATTTTTCAAATTCAAAGGCCTTTATTGAAAGCCCATCATTATCTGAGGTTTGCGTGAATGGGAGCTTGGCCAATACTTTTTCTTCCTAGCATCCATCTGTGGATTACTATAGAAATTATTCCAAAGCAACCATCAGTTCAGATTTCAAAACTTATCCTTGTGCTTCTGATCTCCTAATATTAAATGCTCTGCAAAAGGAGATAAATAATATTGCAGTAGTAGCTGTTTTATTCATTTTATTGCTTTTTCAGAAATTCTGACAAACGCCCTCATTAAATATTTAAGACTTTTCTGATATTCATGGACAGCCTCTCAACTAGGCCATCCTCGTCCCTCATCTGGACAGCTACCTGGCTTCTTTGGTAGAATAGCTGTGGAAACGTCTGTGTGAGAAGCTATCAGATGGATTAAGTGGGTGTTATTGTCAGAGTGAAGGACATGGGTGACCCAAGAAGAGACAGAAGCAGATATGCAGAGAGAGGTTCTCATGTTTAGAAGGGCCTTCTAGGTGAGGATAAAAAGTTGGAAACAGAAGGAGCCTGTTACGGCTGCTCTAACTTATGCTATCTAGCATGGCCCCCAAGGGACTGTCTTCTGGCTGGAGATATCAGAGTATAGTAGGCCATTCTTCTGGCTCACTTCTTTTCCCTCATCACTCTTGGATGCACCCCCAGAGCTGGGGAGTTACATGGAGTCCCTGTTCCCTCTGCCCTGTTAGAGATTTGGATTCTACACCCTTCACCTTTGTTTTTCAGTTTAAAACAAAAAGAGTTTGAATGAGAAATTGTCTTCAAAATGTGAAAAAAAAAGTTGTAACCATTGTTGTAACTTTCTAATTGACACCCTCTCCAAAATTGTAGAATCATGCTAATATGTGCACCATTTTATCCTCAACTAAACTGTCTTTCTCCTGTAACTAAATCAGTGAGAATTTATCATAAATAATTAAACCTAAATTGTAGCTGTCAGATTTAATAAGCAAAGTACATTTTGTGATCCTAGCTCTATGGTTGTATGTATTTACTTCCTTGGTAATTTGCAAAGATCAGGTGACCAGTGTCTCCTACTCATTAGTGTGAATTAGCAAGATTCTAATGTAATGTATTATTAATGGATTGAGATGCATTATTTTTAGTCTTTTGAGTAGCCAAAATGTCTGACTTTAGGAAAACAATGTTCCAAGTGATTATGGCTCTTAAGCGCGCCCCCTTTTCAGTTTCAGTACAGGCAGTCCCCGACTTACGCGGATCCGACTTACGAACGGGGCTTTCTCGCCCCGGAGCTCGCAGGCAGCGGTCAGCCACCTCGACCTCCGGGGCGAGAAAAGCTGCTCCCTGTGCCCCTGGTCTGCTGGGGACCGTCTCCAGCAGACCAGGGGCATCGGGAGCAAAGCCGCAGCCCTGGCGGGTTTGCTCGCGGTGCCCCTGGTTTGCTGGAGACGGTCCCTAG